CCTAGTGGCCTCGCCTTGAAGAGGCGTAGTTGTATGGCATACATCCAACCAGTTATGGTCGATTCTATACCCTTCCTAGCCAGAGACAGTCCTATAGATTTAGGTAGTGCATCGTCAAATGCTCCTTCAAAATCAAGAAATACAGCAACCGTAATCTCCTTGTTGTCAAGGGATTGGGAGATTTTCTCAACGAGGTTGTTTAATGCTGTCGATTTGCCGGTTTGATAAGCATACTGGTTGTTATTCAGGGGAGATGCATATAAATGCTACCCTCCTGATGTGTCTGTTCGGTATCATCTCAAGTCATTTCAACAGGAAGGATGTAAGGCTGATTGGTCGTACCGATTTAAAGTGTGGGTCTCTACGACCCACAACCTTGCTGCCAACCAACTGGGTGGTATATAGTTCCGCACCATACTAGCTCTATACAATTTTGTGAGAACAGGTAATGTTATCTCAAGTCCGTTTTGAAGAAGAGCTGGAAATATACCATCCTCTCCTGGAGATTTGAAAGGTTGAAAAGACTTGATAGCCCTTTCAACTACCCCTGCTGTGATAACCTCCTTTGCGACGTCTAAATGGTTGTTTTTTGGGCGTCCAGCGCCCTCGAAGATGGAGGTATGTTGTTATCAAGAGTCGGATTTTCATAAAAGTGGTTTTCTCTCAAAAGCTCTAACGTTTCTTTACTAGAGGTCGTGAATGTTCCATCGGGTCGTTTGAGCGACCCAGTTTCAGTAGTCGGCTCTCTAGAGATAATCTTGAGAATTCTTGTACTGCGTGGTAAGTCAGAGATACTCTCACAGAACTTCCTCCAAGACTCCCGTTTTGCCTTTCCGATTTCCTTCTTGTATATCGTTAGAGTAGTTTTATAATGCTCCCAATTACCTGACTCTTTAGCTTCATTGGATAATCGTCGAACTTCTTTTCTTTTCTTTTCCTGGCTTTTGTTTCACCAAGAAGAGTTGTGATTATCTCTTTCAACCCTCAGTGAACATTTCTCATGATAGGATGAGATCACTGCTTCGCGAAATTGCGTCGCTACTGTATGTGTACGTGAATAAACAAAATTGTCGAATTTGGACAATACCAATCTACATGATATCCAAGAGGGTCCAATGCATCCCAAAAAGTTACTGTTTGATGTGGATTTTGGGCTTGAGGCGTCATCGGTCCTTATTTCTTCGAGAATAACGTTGGCCAGACCACCACTGTCAACGACGAGCGCTATAAGTCGATGATTGCCAACTTCTTTCGGTCTGAATTGCATGATCTGGATACCAACAATATGTGGTGTTAACAAAACGGCGCTATGCGCCAAATAGGCTATGCTACATTTGATATTCTGCACGAGCGACTTGAGGGAATGGTCATCTCACGTGGAAGTGATATGAATTGGCCACCGAGATCGTACGATTCAACCCCGTTAGACTTTTTCTTCTGGGGTGCGATCTGTAAGCGATCTTCAAAGTCAAGATGAACCATACTATCGGTCAAATTCAGCATGATTTATGCGCCAGAGTCATGTAAAATTGGACGTTTCAGATGCGCTTCAGCCAGAAAAGCCGTTGCGGACATTTCAATGATGTCATATTCCACACAAAAGTTTTTCAAATGAATAAAAAAATTGATAATATCTCACACACACTCTGAACATTTTAACAGATTAATTTGTCAGTAACTTTTCATACAGTGTGTAACAACGAAAACTTAACAGAGCCGTTTTTGAATATAAAAAGTAAGATTTTTCAAAAAAGGGGGACACCTTTCAAACTAATCAGATTTTTTGTAGTACGCACCCCCTCGGATGGGTGCGTCCGACGACCCGTATTTAGATAGGGAAAGTAGGTCGAGCGGTACCTTGTTTTAAAGGTCTTTCGAATACCTTCACAACTCTGTTGAAAGAAAATTTTTGTAATGATTAGTTTTCGAAATAATAAGGTATTTTTATTGAGTTCAACTCTTTTTAAAATAAATCAAATTGTTTTTAGGGTACAATTTACGTTCAGAACTTCCATAAAAAAATAAATTTTTGTTTTTTATGACAACCTGCTAATACGTGTCCATTTGATTTCGTAAAAAAGTAAGAATNGGAGTTGTAAAGGTATTCGAAAGACCTTCAAAACAAGGTGCCACTCGATCTACTTTCATTATCTAAATAAGGGTCGTCGGCGCACCCCTCCGAGAGGGTGCGTACTACAAAAAATCTGATTAGTCTGAAAGGCGTCCCCCTTTAATTAGAAATCGACGTGTCCGAGCTTTTTTTAAAAATCTTACTTTTTATATTAAAAAACGGCTCTGTTAAGTTTTCGTTGTTACACACTGTATAATACATGCAGCCTGTGATTGGAAAAATACAATTTTAATTATCAACTTTCTTGAAATTTATTTTCGGTGAAAACTTATGAACATGTTTCTTAGATTCTTCAATAATAATAAGCAGTTATTTTTTGGGATGGCCCTTCACTATCCTCGAGACAATTTCATGTCGAGCTGAACATGCTTATTTGAAAAATTGGGGAAATCGAAAATTCAGAAAACATCAAACAAAATTGATCTCTTCAGAAACATATCATTCGAAGCATATCGAACTGTATTTTTTATTTGTCTATTTCAGAGACGAGGCAAACATTTCTGCTTATTTCCGATTCGACTCTCAGGTGGAAAATCCAATAGCATTTCATAAAAGCACTTATTCGTTCTTTGCAATCACAAAGCTCTGCCGAGGGATCCTGAATAAATAAAACGAACACGCATTTGTTTTTTGTCCTGTTTGATATTGCCATTCACTCATAAAGCCAAGTATTGGATCAGTTCCGTTCCATTCTTCTGAACACCCATATGCGCCACTTCGTTATAAAATTGTACGAAATATTCATCGGGGAGGAGATTCGAAAATCCCAATAACCCGGGGGACGAGGAAATTATTCGTGAGGTGAACTGAATGGCTCAGGGTTATTGTGTGGAACTTACCGGTTTTCCGTGGAGATTTCACAATGATTTCCATTCAGGAATACAAACCACTCGAATAGTTATGTCACCCCTATTTTTAAAAGTGGCAAAAAGGACGACATAAAAAACAATCGCTCAATTAGTGAACTTTCAACCACCCCAAAATTTTTTGAATTTTTACTTCTGCATCACCTCTCGTGGCATTGCAAAAATTTGTTAAATGAAAATCAACATGGATTTCCTACAGGTAGATCAATAACATCAAATTTA